TAATAGATGTTCCATGACTAAGATTGACATAATAAAAGCTGATAATCATTTTATGAATTCTAAGGTTCAATGTTCATATTATTGATTGTGAAAAAGAATTTGTACTTTATTTTTAAAAGTAAATGATATTTGAACTTTTGACAACTAAAAGCTAGCTATGATGTCTGAGTAAGGAAAATGTTTTGGAAATAAGTAATTTATTTATATCATATCTACATACTTAGTATCCAAAATAAATAAAAGTAGTATAAATTTAGATGTTAATTAATAAAGTGTAATGAATGTATGTAGATAAATATTTTCATGTAATTTTAAACGAGAGGCTCTTTATTTTGTGAATGAACTCTAAAACCTTTGTTAATGGGTTAAAATAAGGCATGATCTATAGAATCTAGTTTAGGCCCGTCTATGAAATGTTTTAAAACGGAAAAGTCTGCAATATACAGGCCATAATCTGACAATTTTGTGTTGTTGCCCCAAGGCCCATTGACAGGTAATTCGACAGCGTCAAGGAAAGAGTACTCTCTTCACTGTCTCATTTGATTTCCTCAATTCTCCAATTGGACTAATCCTACTACGATTATTTGAGTGAGTTGATCCTCCTAACCCCAAATTTTTTTTGTTTTGATTGGGTGATTAACATTATCTTGTTTTGTAAGAAAATCGACATAAAATTATAAGATAATTTCTAACAACATCTCTAAAATGAATTTAGTTGTAAACGAAAAAAGTTTAGTATGATCTACATTACATGCTAATTGAATTACCTGCCCTAATAATTTAAAAACTTTCATTGAATTATTGTCTCCAAGTGACACATGAATGATGTCATGTTTGTTCGAAAATGGATTTACGGATTTTAAAATATTTTAATTAAATTTAGGTGTTCTTTTTTGCGCATTTGGATCTGTGCAATACAAGCACATTCAATTGAATTGGGCCCCTTAAAGCTAAAAGAGAATAATAATCGATGAGGCATCTCTCTTTCAGACTGCTTTCGATCTAATTTCAACATTATTCAAGAATCTCCTTTCGTTTTCTTCTTTAATAATTTTCATCTATCTATCACTTATTCATTTTATCTCATGACTTCTTCATTACAATGTATGAAAAAGATACGTTAGATTAATCTAAAGGGTATTTATAATAAAGTACTTTTTTGTTTAAATCTTGGTAAAAGAAGAAGATAGTGAAGTCTACTATAGAAGTTATCATAAGGAGAAACATAACATAGGATGATCACCAATTCTGTTTATATTAAAGTTTTCATGGCTGATATATCATAATCATATCCATCAAACCGTTGTCTCGAATTTATTGTAAGATAATCACATCCGAGTACTATATTTTGGTTGATCTAAACACGAAATTTCGATGGTTTGATGGATCTTGTCAGTATCATTCTTAAACGGCATGTAGCACTTGATTCTTATGTATAACTCACGTCACGCTTCATCATGTGGTATGATGTATCAAAAGCTTGATTCGATTTACTCCATATTTCTTAGGATAATGGTTTTCAACAAGTTATTAGAGAATATTTTTTCGCTTTTTTCATTAGAAGAAAGTATATAAAATATGTAGTAAAGAGAAAGTTCTATGATCATTATCCTCTATTGGCTTTGGTGATTTTCTTTGCTTGTTTTTCAAACATTCGGGCCACACATATGATCGACATATATGTTTATATCTCTCTCATTCATATGCATATTTATGCATGCATGTGTGTGTGTGAGAAGTTGGATTGAATGATTAATAATATTCCTTTCTTTAAGAAATGAACAAATGAAAAGTGTCCACTAAAACAGAAACTCGTAGTAGGAGAAGATGCTTCACCACGACATCAAGCTACCACATTGGGTCCCCCAATTTCTCTCAGTTTTCTCCTTCTTTATTTCTAAAGAGAAATCAGAATCTTACGATTTTTATGCCTCATAGGGCCATATATCATAACAAATCCGAGTGAATCCATTCCTTACATAGGAGAATGTGAATCTAACTACTATTTAAAATATGTATATATCAGAATTTAAATTAGTACATCCTTTTAGTAAGAAAAATGAAGACATGAAACAAGTTATTGCATAAATTGGGTATATATTGTTGTGTATATATATTACAAGGGGTGATTGTTGTACACTCATGAATAATTAAGCGATGTATATTCAGAAAGAAAAGAGGGATTAAGAGAATAATCATTGGATTTCGATTCTAAAGACGTCAAAGCCATAAAATTTAAAGCTCGATCAGATTCTCTGCTTTTACCGACGGCTCTCTATAAGCCATCACAAATATAAAACTCCTACTTTCTTTTTCTTATTTTCAGTATCTTTTTCAAGGAATTGTAATTTGCAACATTTTAGGTTTTATTATATTCAGTTGAATTCTTTTTCCATTTAAAGCTAGCGAAGAATTTTTTTTATTTTGGAATATATTTATTTATTGCTTCTACAACAAGACTTGCCTTAGAAAAGACTTGTGTGAAAGAGAAAAAAAAAAGTATTTTAGTTATTCTAAAAAATAGTAACTTTGAATTCTTATAATTATGATGTCAAGAAACAAATTCTTATAATTATGGTTAAAGTTGAACCAACAAAAACACGTTAACGAGAGTCTTGAGAGTTGAAGTTTTGGATGGAGTCCACTTACAGTACTTGTAGTTTGATTGGCTAAAAATATTTACTCTCGTAAAGTGGCCCTGCACATAAGACCAAAACATGTATATGTGAAAACAAAAATATCTTGAATTTGATAATAAGGATTGTATCTTTCAAAAGACTTGTAAATTTCTTTCATGATTCAGTGGTTGAATACTTGAATCTGATTTATCGTAGTATAGTTTGATGATAAAATTAATATTAAAAATAGACTTTCTATACTTAAGCATATTATTATATGAGTTTATATACTTACAAAAACAACTCTGCTAGATTACAAGCTTTTAATGAATAGATCTTTCGGCATGAGACGACAAATATTAAATCTTTCATCAATAATTATGTGGTTATCTTGACCAAAAAATTCTGAGCATCATAAAAGGTCAACATTTTTAATTTAAAGACATACTACACATCAAGCATACACTAAAATTAAACACTATTTTTCCTTTTTAACTTTTGTTTTAAATGAACTATTGTATGTATTAAGTCACCGACATGAAATTTGGGTTCATGTCAAGATTTTTCTCACATGCATATAATAAATGAATAATACGTTGAAATAAATATGTTTAAAATAAAATAAATAAATAAAACCTTGCAAGAGATCAATTCAGATCCGAGAACACCTGAGAGATATTCCTCTGAAGTGGATCATGAAACTTCAGTATATAATGTTGTGTTGGGGTGCCATCTTTCTGGCTCATTATATCTTGTTGTTGACATTTATGGACCATATATTTCTTCATGAGTCAAGACCATGCATAGAGTTGTTACAATTTTCATTTATTTTTAGTTACCGTTTTTGACTTATAAAGATTTTATTATATTAATCTAATTATTAAACGCAATCTGGCTGGATTCACTTTCATTGTGTGAGTGGTTATAAAGAAAAATTAGGCAGATAGAGGAATGGATTGTTCTTTTTAAAGTTATATTGAGGTTAGATTCCCTCACCTCTACATACAACCAAGGGAATCTGCCAATCACTCCCATCTTTTATTTCCTTGAAAAAGATGTATATATATAAAAAAAAATTACTAATATATTATAGCCTAGCTTTACAAGAACATATAACATTTTTAAACGTTTATATATTTTCATTTAGGGCTGAACATAGATATCCATTATCCATTTTGATTTATTATCCAGTAGTCGAGAGTCATATACCGGGTCCAAGACATTTATGTTCCACAACTCAACAAATGATAAGAAAAGTTTTTCTACCCAAAAAGTCAAAATAGAAGACAACACTAAAAAAATTGCTATCACATAGTTAAAAGTAGCTCATCTGCATCATGAATAGAAAAGATACATGTATATGTGTAAACATACGACATGCGTACATATAATTTTGGTAATACTACATATGAGTCTATCATTTTCTTCTGTCGACATCGATGAGTCTATATATATGTAGATTCTTCGTTGAAAAATGTTATATGAAGGGACATATATACAAGTATGGTGGGGGCAACATTACGGAAGAGCAAGCCAAGATAGAGATGAGACACAACACAACAAACCTTACACTTTTTCTTTACCTTCTTTTTAGGAGCAATTCTTGTATTTATACACCACCTTTACTTAATTATAATACATCATTGTCTATCCTGATATATTAATTATACAAAAATATATCCGTGTGGTGGATATATTTGCTTCTTATTAAAACGAATTTAATAAGATTGGAACTATCAAGAGATTATAACTTATATAAATATTGTTCTTAATTGATCATTCCCAGACAATCCACCAATGAAACGTTTTTAAAAAATGTTATGTATGTTATAAGATTGCAACATATACGGATCGTGCAAAATCCTAAAAGGCCATGGTGCAATAATATATAACATAGACCATATTTTTACATAAGAAGAAAGTAACATAGAGGACCATATTAAAAATAGGATATGAAACGGTGATAATAATTGCAAACAAAGAATTTGAACATACGATATGTGTCCATTAGGATCGATCGATGTCTATACGACCAAAAACGAAGTGTACAAACCTTTTTTATCTGATCTTATTGCCTCATATATGGAAGAAAAAAGTAACACGAAAATTACAAAAAGGCAACAAATAAGAAAAAAGTGGTGTGAAATCGGGAAATGATCGAAGAAAGAGAAATAAAAAACATAAATTAACCAAAAAAATAATAATAATCATAAAGAAAGAAAGAGGAAAGGGTCAAGAGAGCATATATTCTCTTCTCCAACAGAACCCCACTCATGTTTCCAGATATGGAGTGAGAAAAGAAGAAAAAAAAAAAGAAAAAAAAACATCAACCACTCCAAAGATTTATATATATATCTATTAATCTCCATATCTTTTGCCAACAAACCCAACAATCTTTGAAAACAAATCACCCTTTCGTTTTTATTTAAATTTCTTGGGTCGTTTCTTAAATTTGTATGTGTTTATTAATGGAGATCAACAATAATGCCAACAATACTAATACTAATAATAATCACAAGGCAAAGATGATGAGCCTTGTGTTGTCAACGGATGCTAAGCCAAGATTGAAATGGACTTGTGATCTTCATCACAAATTCATCGAAGCCGTTAATCAACTTGGAGGACCTAACAGTACGTATTTTTGTGTGTCTTTATCTTCATTTTCATGTTTCTTGATTGTTTTTGTTATATTTGTTTGTTCTGTTTGTGTTTGTAGAAGCAACACCTAAGGGTTTGATGAAGGTTATGGAGATTCCTGGGCTTACCTTATACCATCTCAAGAGTCATTTACAGGTAGTGTTCACCAGAATCTTTGATCGGATCAGTGTTTTCTTTTTTCTTCTTGAAAATCTAATTTTTATTTTATATTTCTGCAGAAATATCGGTTAGGGAAAAGCATGAAGTTCGATGATAACAAGCTTGAAGGTTTGATGTTTCTGATCAAACATTAACACATTGACAATGTTTCTAAGACGAAGATAGAAACATATTCTTGAGTTTGAACTCTGATCTGACCAAATTGGGCTAATATGTATGTTTTGTTTCTTGATGTAGCAGTTTCCTCTGCTTCAGAAAACCAAGAAGCTGAGAGTAAAAATGATTCTAGAGATCTCCGAGGCTGCAGTGTCACAGAAGAAAACAGCAATCCAGCTAAAGAGTAATGATCAGAGAATCAAAAAGAATAAAATCTTTTATAGATAGATTTTTTTATAAAGATGGAAATTAATTGTTTGTTTATTTGAAGCAGAGGGTTGCAAATCACAGAGGCTTTACAAATGCAGATGGAAGTTCAGAAGAAACTTCATGAACAAATCGAAGTAATAACATCAATAAAATGACCTGATCAACTCTAATAAGCACAATAATATCTCTTTAGGGTCTTAAAATGTTTTGGTTTTCAGGTTCAGAGGCATTTGCAGGTGAAGATTGAGGCACAAGGCAAGTATTTACAATCTGTTTTAATGAAAGCTCAACAAACTCTCGCTGGCTACACATCTTCAAATCTCGGCATGGACTTTGCGAGAACCGAGCTCTCTCGATTAGCTTCAATGGTGAACAGAGGCTGTCCAAGTTCTTCATTCTCAGAGCTAACGCAAGTAGAAGAAGAGGAAGAAGCAGAAGAAGGTTTCTTGTGGTGCAAGAAACCAGAAAACAGAGGAATTAGTCAGCTGAGATGTTCAGTAGAGAGCTCGTTGACATCTTCAGAGAGCTCAGAGATAAAATTGGAAATTGACAATAACCTTAATAAATCGATCGAGCTTCCGTTGATGGAGATCAAATCGGAAGTGTTAACAGGGAAGAAAAGAAGCTTAAACGACGCCGTTTGCGTTGAACAGCAGCCTCTAATGAAGAGGGCTTTTGAAGTTGATGATGATGAGCACTTGAGGTTGAGTTTGAATAGTTACAAGAAAGACATGGAGACGTGTCCGAACATAGGACTAGGGTTTAATTGAAAAAAGTAAACATTTTACTAAAGTTATATAAAAATGTTTTAAAAGAATCCAATAATATATATATGCGTAGATTTCCATAGATTATTGTAGGGATTTTGTGAGTAAGTCGTGGTGAAGAACGCATGGGAATATTCTATATGAGTCAACAACATGTCAACATGATATAATATATATAGAAAATGTGTGATATGTGTGTATAGATTAGGTGGGGAGGCTTGTGGATGTGGTAAAGGCGGATTTGGAGGAAACTTTTTATGATCAATGAAAGAAGCAAAATGATTAAATTAGAGTGAGCTTTTTATCATGATGTTCCGACCATGATAAGCATGTTGGCTTCTCAGTGGTTGTTTTATGACAAGACAAACCAACACTTGAGTCCTGCGAAGCAATATTCGAATATCTATCCTTAATTTATTTTACTAATTAGCCATCTTGAATATTTCTTCCAACCCCATGCGAGAGAAGGTATTACTACTTGTTATTTTATTATAGAAGAAAGAAAGTCACGTGTTCATGAAAACGAGGCTTATCTGTTTTTTTTACCCCAAATGAATAAGTAAAGATAGATGATCTATCATAGATCTATCACCTTTATGTCTAACCCATGGTGTTCCGGTGGTTTGGATTTGCTCTTTTGGTAACATCCTAGATAACATTTTTGAGTATATACTGTATGTTAATTTGTTGGGATAACATTTTTCTTTTATATATATTTTCCTCCTAAACTAACACAATTTTACATCCGATTTGACGTTAACTTAGTTCTCTTTTCTATAAAAAACGTCTCAGTATTTAAAATGGAGCGTTTTCTCATTTAAACGATTTTCAAATATATTCATTACTTCTTAGAATCTTTAGAAAGTTATTGTTTATGATCTATTTCGTTTTCAAAACAGATTTCCAATCGTGCTTTTTCCATTAATAGCTAGCAAGTTATTGAAAAGTTTGGCATTTTTTTAAGCTTTCAATTCATGTGTTTTTCTTATACAAACTTAGTTTCAATTCATGTGTTTTTCTTATACAAACTTAGTTTATCTTTGTTCATTGTTTTGTCCAAAAAAAAAAAAAAAAAAAATCTTTGTTCATTGTTAATGCTAATTTTGATTTCTCTGAATCGTGAAATACTAACCCTTACTCCAAAAATCATAAATCCCTACCGTCTTAAGGTTTGTCTGAGCTCGTACCACGACGACCCTTCAATCTGTCTCATACTCTCATTTGACATCCGCCTTTAAACAAAAACCGAAAGAAACCTACAAGACAGAAAACGAGAAAAATATAAAAACGTGTATCGGGTTATTTGTTAATAAAAATGGTAAAAAGCTATAATTAATGTTATTTGTCAGAAACAAATGAAAAGATGATATCTAAGAAAAACTAGGGAAAGAAAGAAAGTTATACGCCCTAATTTCGCCTTTTCTTTCACCCGGCGTGTTAGTGAGAGTAATCGAACCAATGTGCATATAACCCAAGGGAAAATAATTCGTATTTTGATGCATATGACTATGAGCATAGAAACAGTTCAATACGGCCGCGCCGCGAACATCGTGAAAGACAAGAGAAATGTGACGATTATAGACGTTTTTCCATTGTCTCGTCCAAGCATATATTTTATAAAAACCCGTGACATCTATCATCTATATAGCCAAAATCTTATTTTGTCTGAATTCAATTATATATTTTGCTTTCCCATTGTTTGAAATAAAATGGAAAAACGTTCTTGGTATCGTCCAAGCCGTGTAAATTATGGCTCTGATATTGCAGTATACGGTCGGTGCGGTAGAAACCATCTAACAAAGTTTATACATAATTATGGTATATTTAGTTAGCTGATTTCAATTATGATTATAAGGATTGAGTCAAAATGTTGTTTCAGATTCGAAACCGTACCAAACACCAATTAATTTCTGCCAACCAAACCCAATTTATAGGAAAAGTTATAGACGTTGGATTCATTATAGAACGAAATAATTCTTCTTGTGACAAGTTAGTTACACAAACTTATAAGAATTAATAAGATTTAACTATAACCAAACATAGTTTTGGGTGTAAGATCAATGTCATACATCACTTGCATTTGATTGATGTGTAACGAGACTGTCTGATATGCACATGATACTGTTACCACCTTTTCGCATCTTATGTCGAGCTTGATTTATTCGAATGTATCCAAACAAGATATGTTAAAAGAGTACAATCAAAGAAAGATAAGAGTAAAGTAATTTCACAAGGGAAAAAAAATCATCATGTACTTCACAATGCATTACCTCAGATAGATTATATACTAAATGCTCATTTACTCAAAAAGTGCTACAAATTGGGCCGAGGAAGAAAAGTTTCATAATCAAGCCCATCTCATGTATAGGCCCGTTTATCTCAGAATGTCAAATCGCTATGCCCGTATACACTAACACTACAATTAGGCTACACACTCTAATCAAGAATGCACAATTGCAAATCTCAAAAACGTTAGAAAAAAGAATCTGACACCAACTACTTCACAAGTTGGACATCAATATACTAGAAACAAGGAATGTTGTGAATCTTGTGATGGCAAGAGAAACCCACGGACCAATTTGTATTTTTCCAACTAGGTCCATTTTAGTCCGCATGAGGCTAGAGCCTAAACCCCACCGACGCAGGCCATGGACACATCTGCCTATTCATTTAGAGTGGTCAACCACAGGCCGGTCCAAAGCCTAAACCTTCAAATCAGGACAAAATTTGGACCCGACTAAATCAAGATTGGTTCAAAAACGACTCGCATCCCTAATTGATTTGCTAATGTCATCAGCCAGTTGTTTTAATGATTGTGCATTGGACCTTTATCCACTGAGGGAATATCACCATCATCTATAATCCAATAATAACATCAAGTTTGCTTTGTTTTGCTTTGCTTTAAACTTCTTTTGGATCCCTCCGACCACATCAGAGATTTCATTGGTCACATCAAGAAACCGTCATGGGAATAAGAATATTATTATTATTTTAAATTCAAAAACCAAAACAATCTCCATCAACATTCAAGATTTCACTATCTTACAATATTTCAAAAAAATGTATGTTTTGGGTTTTTTTAAGTAAAGGAAAAGTTGCAACTTTAGGACTAACCTCGAGAATGCAGAAAAAGCAAAGGGAGGGGAACTCAAAATCAGCAAATGGGTATTTTTGTTTTTTGGACCAACGACTGGTCTCCTGCTTGCTTTGTTTTTGAGCCTGCAAACAATATCCAATCCTCAGTTTTAAAATATGTTACTTTGAGAACAGAACCTGATGCTTCAGAATGTTCTTAGTTTGCATGTGATTAAATATTAATGTTAAAAGAAATATAAATGACAACAGTAAAGAAAAGGGTAGTCAGATAAAGAAAAAGATCTTCCCTCATGAATAAATCAGATAAGGAAAAAGAAACAAATCATAATTAAGGGAGCTATATATCAAACAGAAGTGGTTCTTTTTGAATCATTGCACTGAGGATTAAGATCTGTTGATGAATCAACAAGGTCGGAAAAAAGCATTAAGAGTAATTAGCATAACCAAACACACACAAAGTAATAATTTCTTAAACTTGGCAAGCAAATATCGAATCCCTCAAGCTAGAATCTAATGGTAATATCTACAGTAAAGAGTCAAGACTATAGATTATATTGTTTACAAAGTTCTTGGGTCCATATGATTTCAAATGCATGACTTATGCTCCATCAAATACACTATCTTCAGTAAATTCTATCTTAGACAACTAGTACATAGTATTGCAGGCAAAAGTGACTATGAGGAGTTATGTTATGGTTGTTTTTCGATATTGGTGTCGATATTTGTGAGAAGATATAAAGATGAAGTAGCACAAATAAACATGCAGCCGATGTTGTTGCTTAAAAAAGTGAGCTAGGGATCCTAAAGTGAAGGGGAGGAAGATCTTAGAATATTGTAAAGAATCATTCTTAAAGAGGAAAAAAAAATAATGTATTTCTTTCTTTTCGAAGAGGGTTACTCTGTTGTACCTTTTCTTTGCCAAAGTTTAATGCTTTATATGAGTAGCTCCTGTAGGTTGTAGTAATGGAATAGTACCAACGGTTTGCGTGGCCCACGGCTCCGGTCCACTGTGTTCCTGCCATTTAACAAAACACCAACAAAACCACTTTCCTTAACAACAAAGGAATTATGACATAGCCAGAATCCACAACATTAAAGAGTGTAAACTTGAATGATTAGGATATAACCCATTGTCTCGAAAAGTTAAAGGTATTGTATACTTCGAAGTACAATTTTGAAATCAAGGAAAAAGCTTCCAATGCAATGAATATGCAATGCCATTGAACCGTAACTCAACTTTTTCATGCTGCTTTTTTCGTAGTTATGTTTAAACTATTCGTCGATATATCCAGAAAGGAACACAGCATATAATGGAACTATAGCCGCATAGGAAATTGGCTTATAACCAAATCACATGATTAGGCAAGGCAGCTTATAGATGGTGTATAAAGAGAATCTCACTAAACATGTTCACTGGAAAAGGTGTTCAAGAAAGTGCAAGTGTGTCAGTTTAACAGTCGCCTTCAACGATGTGGCTAGTTAGGAAGGTCTCCAGAAACCCAAATTAGGCCAATTATTCTGTCAAGATTGGAATGACATGGATATGGTTAGACAAAAGCAAAGGATAAATGGAGAGATGTAGGGAAACCAATTAAGAAAGATACTTAACTTCCCAGCGGTTTTCGTGTACTGAGCTCTTTTGTACAATCATTGTCAGATTCTTTCATAACAGCCTTAATCTACTTAGATTTCCAAAGCAATGATTTTTTAAGTGAATCTAAATTCCCCAGGGTCTCAGGGACCCACTGTGCTTTTACACTTTAAAGCTTCCTACAAATCCCAATAACTGATATATAACAAGACTATATCTACAGGAAGGAACACACACAAAATCAGAACTCAGAAGGGCTATAATCTCATTACTCCTAACCCTCTCATTTCTTTGAAGAAAAGAAAGATACTCTGAATCTTCTTGTCTGCCTAAGAACAGA